TATGATGTTCACGTTGGCAAATGCATTTCAGCCAAAAAATACACACCTCGTTTCCGATGTCAGTAGCATGCAAATAGACATGGAAATGTATACATTTGTCAAATGGGTTTAATGTATATATTGTTTGTGTTGGTACATTTTCCTCCTGATTTGGCATGATTTACTCGTTTCTTCACCTTAACGTTCCAAATAGTGTGCCTTTACCCGTTGGACTACTTTCGTCAAGCTAGGCAATGAGAAATGCAGGCTTTATCTTAGCAGGGTGGTGGCATTTCTTCTTCATCTATTTTTGGCAAGGAAAGAAAGTGGCCTGAGAGGCTTCAAGTCAGCTCACCCCCTCCTTAATCAACACTTCTCGTCTTCCATATCATTCCCACTCTTCTGTACCGCATTGTGGCAGCCTCTCATCGACACTCCCACTGCTTCCCTTCCTTCGTTTGTCCTCTTCAAACACAAGATTCGATCGGCATCGTTAGCCTTGTGATGGCATCATTCATGGCAATGTTAGCCTGTTACCGAGCATCAGCATCTGTGGCAATACCACGACCGTATAAGGCGACAATGGGTGGGTGTGGGTGAGTGCAATTAATTTCAACTTAGAGAATGAATTTGGTGCGGATTGAACTCGCATTACGGGAAGGCAGCCATAGAACTAGCGGCTCACCATCAATGCACAGATGAGTTCGCTCATTAAGATGTGCATTTGCACGGAAGGATAGCTGGGAAGGCAAAAGCTGCCCGTGTGTGCCTCACTTTCGGGCACTTTTACACCTATGCTAATAACCGACGCTATGTTGCGTTGGTTACTCCTGCCATTCCACACCAACACACCTGCTGCTCTCTCTCGCGGATTCGTTGGATCCTCATCCTCGGAGTGGAACGCGTAGTGTTTGTAACCCACCAATTTAGTCAATCAGTACCGAAATCCATCAACACCATCAGCATTCAGTCTCATAATGCGGGATTGATTTCCTTCCCTACAGACACTTCACAACACGTAAGGAGGAACAAACACCGACACACTCGTCGCAGTCATGTCGACGTCTCAGTAATGAACTCCCATCTTCCTTCTCACCCTACAAATTATGGTGTTATCCATGCCCTCGATGTGCACTGCCCAACGTGCGCAACATGGTGTGCATCCACACCGACCCACAGAATATCGGCAAAGAAGAAGCAAATGGGTTGTGTCACTCTGCCGAACGCTTCCACTAGACACATACACAAGTTGGTATATTTAGCAACAAGCTTAGTACCATGAGGTGAGGAGGAGAATTTCGCTTCAGTTGCGCACTCGGACTGCACAGAACATGGACGTACGTGGAGAGGTGGACTGACGAGGCGCAAGGCTCCAAAAAGTGACAGCGCTGCCTACATCGCAACTGTTTCGCCAAAAGTTGGAGGAGTTTGGACATGCTGCTCTCAATTTCGTATCATTGCGAGATGCTTGTCAGGACTACGAATC